AGGAATTTGGTGGTATGTATGTAATATTTTTTATCAGAATAACATTTTTTTTGGGTTTATAATGAAATTTTCATGGAAATTGACATTTGATATATTTTTAGGTAATTCCAATATTAATCTACAGCTCTTCCAGTTGCTTGATTTAAACCAACATTAGAATTTTCAGGTGCAATCAAGCTTATAAAAGGAGTCGAGCTTGAGCTTCCCAATCGAGCTTGAGTATACGAGCCAAGCCCAAGCCTGCTATTTTTCCTCGAGTAGACCTCGAGCTCGAGTTTGAGCCAATTATATATTAAACAAGCTGAGCTCGTTTGACAACTCATTCGAGCTTGACTCAACTCGTTTACACCCCTAGCCTTTACACAAAGGCAGCAAAAAAAATGCGAGCAGCATTTTCCAAAAAAAAACAAAATGAAAAATGCATCTCTTCTGACAATTGTTATTGCCAATAAAAAATAAGTTAATTTACAGTGTTGCTCTTAGTGCCAAGTATCAGGGTTCCAAAAGGAGAGAGACATCTCAAGAGCTCATTAACGCTATTTAGTCTTTTATTATTATTATTATTGTTAGGAATAGATAGGCTTGTTATGTCTAGGGTTAGGGGGCATGAGATTGGATTATGAGTCTTACGTCTAGGATTTGGGAGAGATTTCCTACCTCTCGAATTGTAAGAAATGAGAAATATCGTCTATCTCTCGAACTGTAGGCGCTTTTCTTTTGTATTCGTGGGTCGATTTCTATGCTGAATCTAATCAAACTAGTAATAGAGTTCAAGATTTTGGCAATCGGATCAGAGGATCGAAAGCTTAAGCAAATAGCGGCTTCCTGGGCGACGATTTCAGCATACATAACCCTCGATCTGGTTTGATCTGTCGTTCGCACAAGTGAGGCTGGATCGATGTACAAATACCCGATCTCTCCCTGATTGATGTGATTGCAGCTTACCAAGAGAAGGCCATGAAGGAATCGTGTCTTCTGTCATTTGTGAAGACTGACGAAATTGAAGAAATGGCAGCATGCAGATATCCGTAACCCATCAGCACTCCTGTTTCTGCACCATGTTCACCCGGTACAATCACAATCAGAGACCCGAAACTCCCATTTTCCTCTGCCTCTTGCGCCGACTTCTCTTCTTCTAGCGTCGTCTACCCGATATAGTCGCGATCATAGCTGCTTGGGAAGGAAACGGCTGGGAAGCGGCCTACAGAGATGCGAAACTCCCGATTTTCTCCTGTTCTAGGTGATTTCAAGCTTGTTGGGAAGGCGAGACTATAGCTACCAGATCATCTCAATTGGAGCTACCTAGGAAGCCATGACCAGATTTGAGGGATTTCGATCACTGACTCGCAAAACAATCGCTCAATTTGTTTCATCACGAAGCAGACGACGGATTTCAGCATATAAAAAATTTGAGAAAAAAGATAGCCAAAAAAGTGGATGATTTGGAGAAGAAAATAGAGGAAGAGAACAGCCAAATCAGATTTAGCATAGAAGAAAGGTTCGCCGCCATAGAAGGCGGGTTTTCTTCAATACAAAGTTGAATGGACGACTGATTCGAGAGCATAGGGGAAATGTGAGAGGAAGATGAAGAGGCTCATGGAGATGCAATCCCAGGCCCTGCCAACCATTCAAGTTACAAACCCTAACCAAGAGTTGATCAGGGAATCTTTGGCCAGATCAAGGGGAAGGAGATCGAACAAGAGGACAACGAGAAGAATATTATCTACCACCAAGAGCGTCCACAAATGACTCTGAGAGGAAGGGGAGCAGAGATTTGTAATGGAGGGGCTTGGGCTGAAAATTGGAAGAGAGATGGTGCAAGAGGCACGGGAGAACATGGAGGAATGAGGGAATTAGGAGTGGGGTATATGGCTATGACCGAAAGTGGGAGTTGCACAATAAACACATGGGGAAAAACATCGAGGAGAAAGGAATTTTAGGTGGACTTTTTAGAGTTAAGAAGTTGAACATGTCGATCTTCGGTGGGGGGAAGATACACATGGGTGGGTTTATTAAGCGAAGCAATATTTTGCGGTGAATGAGTTAGACTGGGAGGAGAAACTCATGGCGGCAAAATTGTGTTTGGAAAGAAAAGCATTAGCCTGATTTTAGTTGAGAGAGGCAAGATATCGGATTCATTCATGGGATTAATTTAAAGATTTTTGTTAGAACATTTCCAAGACATTCGGGAAGCAGACCTACACGGGCAATTCTATGCCTTGACTCGAGAGGGAACGTTCATGAAATATAAGGAGGGATTTGAGCTATTATCGGGACGAATGTGGAGTATTTCTGAAGCAAAACTGAAGGGGAATTTCATGAAGGGCTTAAATCCCAAGATACGGGCAGCACTCTGACTACTATGACCGCAAATATTGAAAAAGATGATGAAGTTAGCCCAGATGATAGAGGACGAGAACCATATGAAGAAAGACAACAAAAACACCCCAGATGGAGCGTCAAACGGAACTGCTGCAACCACAATGATGCCAAAAGTTCAAACAGTGGAAGTCAAAATGGAAGCTGCACGGAACACATAGAATGGACCATGACCAGGAGCAACACTCAAGCACCTTACAGAGATAGAGAATTGAGAAAAACAAACCAAGGGGTTAAGCTTTTGGTGTGACGAGAAGTTTAGCCCAGGACACCATTGCAATGATAAAAAATTACAAGTTCTCATAATGCAGAATATGGAGACAAGGAATGAAGAAATAGAAATAATTATTGGGAAGAAGGAACACTCTTATTTTTCTCACCTTGAGGACAAGGTGTCTTGGGGGAGTAACGTACGCTTAAGAGCAACTTAGTCTTTAATTATTATTGTTGTTGGGTATGAAAAGACTTGTTATGTCTAGGGTTAGGGGGGCATGAGATTGAATTGTGAGTTTTAAGTCTAAAGTTTGGGAGAGATTTCCTACCTCTCGAATTGTAAAAAGTGGGAGAGATCGCCTAAGTCTCAAACTGTAGTTACTTCTCTTTTGTATTCGTGTGAGTTGTTTAGACTATTGCAATAATAATTTTTGTTTACCCTAATTTCTATGTTGAATTGCATTACACTATGACGCATTAGACTCGGTGGAGGAAAAACACAAGTGACAATTCAGATGGCAAGTATCCAGAAACATGATTACTCAACTAAACACACACACACACACCTACACATATAGAGAGAGCCTATGGTTTTTCTTGTTCAATGCAATCATGTTTCAACAGCCAATTACAAGTAAACTACCGCAAGGTAAAAAACAAAAGATAGTCATTGAGATCATTGGCCTTTATAGATGATATTTATGATTGAGTTCATGAATCTTCCTAGGAAGAACAAAAAACAGCTTTAACTCAATTTTAAGCATATCTTATTTCGCAGGATCTGACCAAGTACGAGCCTTCTGAATTTTTGTTTACCCTAATTTTTATGTCAAATCGCATCACACTACGACACATTAGACTTAGTGGAGGAAAAACATAAGCGACAATTCAGAAGGCAAGTATCCAGAAACATGATAATTCAACTAAACGCACACACACACACATACAAAAATAGAAAGAGTCTGTGGTTTTTCTTGTTCAATCCAGTCATGTTTCAACAACCAATTACAAGTAAACTACTGTAGGGTAAAAAACAAAAGATAGTCATCGAGATCATTGGCCCTTATACCTGATATTTATGATTGAGTGCATGAATCCTCCTAGAAAGAGCAAAAAACAACTTTAACTCAATTTTAAACATATCTTATTTCGCCGGATCTGACCAAGTACTCTTAGGCCTAACCACTTCACTTCCTATGCAATTCATCGCCCGACCTAATTGATGGTGCTCTTCATTCTACATGCCCAGATTCCGCATGGACTGCTAAAATATTGTCTTTCATACAACAATTTCACACTTTATCCTTTCTGCTTTCCCATACATTCATCTTAACATAATTACTTTCACCATACTTGGACTTAATTTGTTAATGATGTGATGCTTTTGGTGTTTTTTGGCAAAAAAAAGTCTTTGCTCCACTTATAGATATGGACAAGCCACCGAAGAAGTGAATTGTTCCTGCTTTTGAAACAATGAAAGTAATCATGCAATATACCACCTAACAACTCATGTTTTTTTGCACGAGTACATGGTATTTCTGGAATTCTTCACAGCGAACTCCAGTTCATTTAACAACCATTGTAGTCAATGTACAAAAACAACAACAAAACCTTTATCCCACTAAGTGGGGTTGGGGTCTTTATCCCACTAAGTGGGGTCAGTTACATGAATCCTTTTTCTCCATTGCGTCCTATTTAGTATCATATTTTCATTTAATCCTAATAAATTAAGATCATTTTTTATTCAAAATGCCCAAGACATCCTAGGTCTACCTCTGCCTTTCTTAATATAAGTCGAATATAAAACAACTACTCTTCTAATCGGATCATTAGATGGTCGACGTTTAATGTGACCAAACCATCTAAAGATGGCTCTCTCTAATTACGTCCATATCACAAATATATTCATTTCACATAGTCAACGTATTAAACAAAATGTATTTATCAAATTGCTGCATTGTTGCATTGTCATTTCCTAGCTAGCTCTAGCATTGCAAATATGCATATCATGTCAGTTAATAAACTTTAGTTTTCCGAATATGTGCTCTTAAATATTTAAAATAATAGCCACTTGGGAACAAACTTCTCACCTTACTACATAAACCAGCTGATTAGCATCAAGCATGCATTAATTATACAAACATTTTTTCATTATCATGATGAAAAAAAAAATGGTAAATAAAAATCCAAGATATGGTAGTTAAAATAAACTTCATGAGAATGTATTGTAAAATCTACTCTACCACCATTGACTTGACAAAAGAAATGCTTGTCAAAGCATAGAATAATATAAGAAGAATGAAACTTTTGACGTCTGAGAAAAAAAAGCCTAACCAAATATTATGAATCAACGAAGAAATACAAAGACGTAAAAAAAAACAGTAAAAGAAAAAGAAATAATGGGATACCTAAAAATGAGGCAAATGCCAGGTACTGCAGCCTCTGAACGTGAACAGGTATTTCTTTTGCAATGTCGTGATGAATAATTGGGAAAAATGGTGGCCAATTCTTTTCTTCCAGTACAATTCCAGCTGCATAAAGAAAATAATTATTTATTAAAAATTAAGCATAGTTTAAATATTAGCATCTTTGCTACAGCAGAAAAGAATGTGAAATCTTTAAGAATTTACAAATGAATTACCCCGAGCTACTGCATCTTCCCGTCGTTTTATGTCCTATCATCAAGAGCATAGGGGCATCAACATGAAAATGTGAAATAACCACTTGAATGGAAAATCAAGAGCATAACAACTAAGTAAAAAAATAAAGCATGTATGCAGCAATGAAGATTCAACCAAGTATAAATAGCTTCTTCAAAGGTAAAGAAACAAAGTTTGCTCCTGTTCTATCTAATTATCTTTCAAATCATCAAATCTAAGATGTAGGTTTCCTTATCTACCTGCATCATATCACTATCATATTTAACCTGATACAAGTATTTGGGGTTGACTTAATGAATTCTCATCCTCCATTCATACATGCATAAGTGTTAGTGTTTTTTTTTTCTTTTTCTCTTTTTCTTTTTTTTTTTTTCGTAAGTGTTAACCTACAGTTATTGTGTCTAAGCTTAATGTAGCACTACTCATATTTTCTTTAATCTCACTTTTCTTTTCTGACAATTCAACGTGAATTTTATTAACCAGTCTAATGAGGTATATTTACTACCCTTCATAACACATGTTCAACCACCCTAAGTCTTTTTTTACTACACTATTTTCAATAGATGCTGCGCTGCCTCTACTATCCCTATTTAATCATTTTCAATCTAATCTTTTTAGTTCTATCACAAAAAAAACATCTTAAAATTCATATTATATCACATAACAAGGTAATAATTGGTTAAGAGTTATATTGCCCAATTTAATGGTCAATTTAGAAAAGAAAAACACCTATATATTATCAAATATAAATACTCTAAACAATACAAAATTTTATGCGTAGCAACAAATGTAATACACTTGCTGTGGAGTAGTAGTTCACATTCATTTTCAAATCAAACTTGATGGCATGCCAACAAATTACAAGGTTCATAACCTATTTCAATAAATGAACAAAAAGAACATGCACCATCATTTTATAACTTCCACTAACAATGAATCAACCTAACCAATTTGCAACTTAATGTTTAGCAAAAGCATTAAAGATAAATTTGATTTACAAGTTTGAATCAATAGCTCACATGAACTACACAAGCATGAATTTGGACAAAACTTTATGTGGCTTGAACAACAATAGCATATTTGTGCACTTATATGAAAAAATATGTAGTTAAAAGGGCCCACACAAAACTTGCTCAACGCCAAATCCTCAATTGAAATATTTTTTTGAGTTGATCTCAAGCATAGCATAGCTAGCTCAAAACTTGAATTGAGCCAACAAGAATATATATAACATCTATTTATTACTTCTTTCATTTACAAGCATCCCTCTAATAGCGTAGTGATTATTGATGGTCGGTATACTTTGCTTGAAAAAATGTGAGATCAACCCTATGGATTATTGTTTACATTTTTTTTCTATTCTCAATTTAATCCTAAAGTTTTGGACCATTAAAGTTTTTGTTGTTTTTTTTATCCAATGATGAATTCAATCAGTAAGTATCATACTGAAATTCATGCCACTGTAGTTGAGGGCCACATGATCCTTCTTATTTAATTTCCGAAGGGGCAAAACTACGAAGGTGAGAGATCACTGGAATCCAAAGAGAAGACTCAATAGCTCATTCGGCATTTCTTATATATCTGGTGTCACACCCCAACAGACCCCCCTCCTTTATAGGAGTTGTCTGAGGTGCGACAGAGGCCAGTAATTTGGTCGAACCAAGCCTCAATAATACTCGTCCAAACTTTTATAATCAAGACCCAATGGGTAATGAATTAGTCTAATTGGATCAACGCAACATAAGTGATACATTACATTTCAATTACTTATTTGGAAACATGAAAATTAAATCATTCAAAACATGAAAACAATACAGAACTGCTAAATCCTTAACAATAAAAATACTTGAACCCAAAACTTATGTAAAAAGCTCCAAAAACTAACGTGCAAAAGTTGTACTAAGACACACTTGGCTACTGGCCGCAGTACTCATTGCCCCTACTTGAAAAACAACAAAGACAAATGAGCAAACAACAAGCTCAAAAAAATAATCATGGCTAATATAAGATTTTACGCATGAAAAAAAAGTAACAAGCATGCTCCTAGAAAATTTTACATGTCTACACAAAAAGCATAACATGCTAGCATAAGAAAGCAGGTAGAGAAACAAGACTACAATGTAATATGTAAGTCAAGCATGAAATCATAAGCATATTAAAAAACATTTTCATTCATTTCATAGAGGTCATATCATAGTAATGTCACTTGTTTAATGTATAGGGCTAAACTATTTTCATGTTCTTTCATAAAGGGTCGTCACTCTGCCCGAAAAATCATATAAACCATTGATAAAGGTTGGACTTCCCCCAACATAGCAATTATCAACAGCCCTCCTGATATCCATAGTTTTCTAATGTTGTCACCGTCTAATCAGAACGGTTTTAAGAGTTTCGTCCCCGTATACCTGCATGTAATAGTCTACCTATACGTTACTCGTGACATTTCTTATAACATAATGCATGTAGCATCCATTCATGGATATTTCATATACATATCTGAATCATAATGAATATTTGCATTATATCATAGTATAACATAGCATCATATGTACAGTAAAAGACGTCGATTTGCATTTATACATTTTAAGCAGCTAATCATCTACAATATGCATGCAGTCTAAATGCTTCTATGTCGTAACAAAAATCAAATGAAAACCTATAAAAGATTATTTTTTATTAAATTAGTTCAGATTTCTTCACCTGATTTGTCGGTGTAGCCCTACGAGTTTCTATACGCTAGCATCGAGTTCAGCACCTCGTATACACAACCTGGGGAATATAGACATCATAGGAATTCATAAAATTTGGGTTCATAATATGATTTAAACCAAAACATAATTTATTCGCCTAAAACATACCTCAAATGAGCTTTTCAACAAAAATTGCCCTTCTGAAACTGGCTAATCTCTTCTTATAACCTCCAACTTAACTTCCCCTTCGCTAAACTCGTGCTAAAACCCTTTTAGAAGCTTGCAAGATGATTATGCACTTTCAGCACAAAAACCGTGCCTCCAAAGGCTGCCGGGAACGAGAAAAACATGAAAATCAACACAAATTTTAAAACGGAAGTGAGAGGAAGGAAATGAATGCTAAGAATTGCAAGAAAAAGGGATTCATGGTTACAGAATTTACCCCGGCGTCCTAAAATCTCAAATTACGGTTCCTCAATGCCGCCCGGTTTGCTTGCTAGTTCGAGGCTACCCGCACCCTTGCACTGTAGCAAGGGTCACAACCCCTTTTGCTTCTACCGCGAGTGAGATGAACAGGAAGGGAGATCAGAGAAGAAAAGAGAGGCAGAGGAAGTTGGGAGAAGGAAATCGTGAAGCTCGCTGCCCAATTCGACCGATCAAAAGGAAATAAAATGGTGTAAGTCAGTTGGCTACAGTGCTGAGGATTAGAGATAATTAAGGATTAATTAATTTAATAAAACTTATACTTTCAATATTTTATAACTCACAATCCATTCACAGTTTACATACTGTACTTTATATCGATTTAATCGCTTTCATGTATAGAAGTTAATAAATTTATTTCGATTAAATTCCGAAAGATGAAAGATTTTGGGGTATTTTAAGAATCGTGTCAAACTTAATTTCTCAAAATTTGGGCATCACAACTATCACTTCATAAAAATTTCGTCCTCGAAATTAATGACTTCACTGGAATAGGAAAGGATATTTCTATAGCATTACCTCTTTTTCCCATGTTGGTTCCTTTCAAGCTTGTGCTTTCATTTTATCTTCACAAATGGAATCTGTATGTTTATGAGCTTCTAATATCAGTTGCTAAAATCTTTTCAGACTCTTCAATATTTGTTAGATTTTTTTATCATGTGAAATTCTCTGCTTTGAATTTAAAACTCATTTATGTAACATTGAAATGTGAAACACATTGTGTATATCTGATATATTCGTACATAATGCTAATTTGTAGGCAATTTTACCGATCCTTTTGATATTTTCAAAAGAACCAATGCACCTGAAACTCAACTTTCATCATTGACCAAATCTAGTTGTACCTTTCATTGGCTTGACTTCAAAAAATATGAAATCTCCAACTTCATATTCAACTGTTTTGTGCTTTGGGTCGTGATATTTCTGTTGTCGATCTTGAGCAGTTTTCAATCTGTCTCAGATTAATCTGATTTTCTCTATGGCTTCATTAATTAGCTCGGGACCAAACATTTGGCATTCACCCACTTCGACCAAACTGAGTGGAGTTTTGCAATGTTTGCCATACAGAGTGATGTGTGCTAGAAAATTCGAAGCGGTAGAGTAATAAATTATCGTTTTAACGTTGCACGAGAATTCAACACACACAGAAAATAAAAGAGAAGTAAGCAGGAGGATAAATCTCGACTTTTTACGTGGAAACCCTTGAAAGAGGAAAAAACCACGGGATCTAGCCCAGTTGAAATAATTCACTATGAATGATGAGTACACAAGTTCATTTTTCCCCTGAATTAGGGAAGATGAAATTACAAAATTTTATAACTATAATTTGATTGTAGTTATTGGTGACAGCAGGTTGTAAGGGTCATTGTTGATTGTTGTGGAGATAGTAGTCCATCGTGAGTGTTGTAGATGGTTGCTCCAGAAGTGTTGATTGACCAAAGAAACCATAGTAAACAGTTACAGGAGCTCTAGACCACATAGGCCGTAGTGGCCATTATGAATGACATGCGTAGGCCGCCGAGGCCGGAGTCGGGAGCTGCTCGAGCTGTGAACCACGTAGGTCGTTGTTGACCCATAGACCACAGTGATGAGCTCATGTCCCACGATGATAACTGACGGTGTCTGATTAGTGGTAATCGACGATGATTAGTGGTGATCGACAGTGACAGTCGACAATGGATGACGGCGATCGACGATGGCCCAGTGGTGGCCGATGGCGATCGACGGTGATCGACGATGGTCGGGATGGTGCTGGACTTCAGCTCCTTCTTAAGGTTTTCAGTTTTCTCTGAAGCTTCCAACCCCCTCTCATGTGAAGGGTGAGACTCTATTTATAGTGTT